TCCCGAAAGCCAGCGTCCTCAGAAAGTCGTCTTCGGGCAACGGGCGCCCCGCCTGTCCTGCCCGGCCACCCCTCCCGTGCCCCGCCCCGAGGAGAGGGAGGGAAAGGCGAGGATGAGGCAGAAGCGGGAGAGGCCACGACGACGCAAGAGGGGAGAAATACACGGGAGCAGGGAGTAGCGAGAGCATGGTGATGGCAGGGATGACGCCTCTTTTTCCGTAGGGGGTCGGCAAAACCATGCCGCAAAGGGGGCGCCATGGGGAATTGCTGGCCTGCTGGCGGGGCGCCGTTTTGCAGCCCCGCCAACCCCCCCCCGAAGGGGAGGTGGATTGCAATTGGCGGTCTGGGACACGGGCGGGCGGTTGTAAGAGTTTCCCCCTCGGACCCCCTTCTGCGACCCTGGTGTAGGGGCGCGCACCCACCGAAATACTGTTGCGTCATCGGCTACGCGGGGGCGGCGAACGCCCCGACCGCGGAGTTTCCGCGGCGCCTGCGCCAGCGAGCCGTTCGAGCGGATCCAGCAGTCGACCGACGAGGAGCAGCTGGGGCGTTCCTTGCGCCCACCCCCGAAGCCCCTTTTTCCCGAAAGCAAGCGTCCTCAGAAAGTCGTCTTCGGGCAACGGGCGCCCTACCTATCCTGCCCGGCCACCCCTCCCGCGCCCCGCCCCGAGGAGAGAGGGAGGGAAAGGCGAGGACGAGGCAGAAGCGGGAGAGGCCACGACGACGCAAGAGGGGAGAAATAGACGGGAGCAGGGAGTAGCGAGAGCATGGCGATGGCAGGGATGACGCTTCTCTTTTTCCGTAGGAGGTCGGCAAAACCATGCCGCAAAGGGGGCGCCAGGGGGATTGGCAGGCCTGCTGGCGGGGCGCCGTTTTGCAGCCCCGCCAACCCCCCCCGAGGGGAGGTGGATTGCAATTGGCGGTCTGGGACACGGGCGGGCGGGTGTAAGAGTTTCCCCCTCGGACCCCCTTCTGCGACCCTGGTGTAGGGGTGCGCGCCCCCCGAAATACTGTTGTGTCATCGGCTACGCGGGGGCGGCGAACGCCCCGACCGCGGAGTTGCCGCGGCGCCTGCGCCAGCGAGCCGTTCGAGCGGATCCAGCAGTCGACCGACGAGGAGCAGCTGGGGCGCTCCTTGCGCCCACCCCCGAAGCCCCTTTTTCCCGAAGGCAAGCGTCCTCAGAAAGTCGTCTTCGGACAACGGGCGCCCTACCTGTCCTGCCCGGCCACCCCTCCCGTGTCCCGCCCCGAGGAGGGGGAGGGAAAGGCGAGGATGAGGCAGAAGCGGGAGAGGCCACGACGACGCAAGAGGGGAGAAATAGACGGGAGCAGGGAGTAGCGAGAGCATGGTGATGGCAGGGATGACGCCTCTCTTTTTCCGTAGGGGGTCGGCAAAACCATGCCGCAAAGGGAGCGCCCGGGGGAATTGCAGGCCTGCTGGCGGGGCGCCGTTTTGCAGCCCCGCCAGCCCCCCCCCCGAGGGGAGGTGGATTGCAATTGGCGGTCTGGGACACGGGCGGGCGGGTGTGAGAGTTTCCCCCTCGGACCCCCTTCTGCGACCCTGGTGTAGGGGTGCGCACCCCCCGAAATGCTGTTGCGTCATCGGCTACGCGGGGGCGGCGAACGCCCCGACCGCGGAGTTGCCGCGGCGCCTGCGCCGGCGAGCCGTTCGAGCGGGTCCAGCAGTCGACCGACGAGGAGCAGCTGGGGTCTTCCTTGCGCCCACCCCCGAAGCCCCTTTTCCCGAAAGCAAGCGTCCTCAGAAAGTCGTCTTCGGGCGACGGGCGCCCTACCTGTCCTGCCCGGCCACCCCTCCCGCGCCCCGCCCCGAGGAGGGGGAGGGAAAGGCGAGGATGAGGCAGAAGCGGGAGAGGCCACGACGACGCAAGAGGGGAGAAATACACGGGAGCAGGGAGTAGCGAGAGCATGGCGATGGCAGGGATGACGCCTCTCTTTTTCCGTAGGGGGTCGGCAAAACCATGCCGCAAAGGGAGCGCCAAGGGGGAATTGCAGGCCTGCTGGCGGGGCGCCGTTTTGCAGCCCAGCCAACCCCCAGTGAGGCAAGTGGCGCTCGCAATGAGTGAGCGAGGCGTCTCCATTGAGGCATGGGCCCGGGCGCCGACTGGCCCCGCTCGGATGACAGGGCCGGCGCGCAGCCGGGAGGCTTGGAGGCTTGGGTGGTGTCCGGTTTGATGGACGCAGCTGCTTATGCAAACGTTCGGAGACGTTCCTGCTCGTTGAAGCGGGTGCATACAGAGCGCATGGTCTCGGGGCTCGACCACCCGCATTGAGCTTGAATTATCTCGTCTGGGACCTGGGCATTTGCTTTCCACCAATGGGCCCCGCCTTTTCGCAGCGAGTGGGTGCCCGTTGAGCACCGGGGAAACACTGATGACAAGGTTTTGCGCGTTGTGTCGGCGGACATGGCCGATGGCGCTGCCTTGTGCGCGACGGAAAACAATGGGCCACTGGCGTGATGCGGCCACAGCTTCGCGCGGGCGGCGACCCAGTCCCGCGACAGTTGCACGGGGCAAGAGCCTCCGAGGTGCGGAAAGCATGGAGTGATGCAACGCATCCTTGCTCCTAGTGGATCATTCTTTTGCTTCCTGATGAATGCTACGGCGTGCGTGGTCTCGATCGCAAGATCCTCCGCCGCCGGGAATCGCATCTCGGCGGACCGTCGCGCGCCGAAGAAGCAACATGCCGCAGCAGCTGCGCCCCGGACGCCCGCGGGGGAGTTGACGCCGCGGCACGCCCGCACGTAGTGCAGGAGCTGTGTTAAAGGCAGCGGCTCTTTGGCCCGTGACAAAGTGTGGTTTGCTCGTTTTTTGAGGCCCTTCCAAAAACGTGCGGCCCCGTCGGTCCACGCGAAATCAAACGGGTCTACAAGGCCCCGTTCTTCGCGCCATGCTCGCACTGCTGCGCGGGCCGTGGAGATTGTGCCCCGCGGTTTGCCGTCCAAGGAAGCGAATGGACACATCAGCTTTGTGTCTGAATCGCATGGGCAGCAATGACAGACCAGATGCCGACTCTGCGTGGTTGGCCACAGAGCGAAGCGCAGCATCGTAGCGCGCGTGCGTGGACTCTTCCCACGCCGCGCGGACGCAGGAATTCACTGTGGCAGATGCTCTGGCTTGGAACGCCCGTTGGTCGGCAGTCGTGTCTGTGGCCGCCGGGGTGTTCAGAACCACTTCGAGGCCAACCAGATGCTGGGGGCCCGGCCGGTCGGGCCCCGATTTGGGGGGGCCCGGCCAGAGTGCTGGGTGCGCGCCCGACGCGCGTTGCGCGCTGGGCGGAGACATTCTTAGCCGGATGGCCCCCCAAGGCCCCGGCGCGTTGCACGGTGACCCGGGTACCTCCCGAAGTTTGCGATGCAAGTTGTGCAGCGCCTGCCTGGGCCCGCTCACTGGCGTTGCCGTTGGCTTGCTGGGCGCTCCCGAGAGGGTCAGAAGAGGGCGAAGCCGACGAGCCCAGCTCCCCTGGGCGCCTTGCGTCCGCGCCAGGCGGTCCCGTTGAGGCGCGGGCGGCCGCGCTGGGTGCCGTTACCACTCTCTCCTCTCTCCTCTTGAACGCCGCGGCCGGCCCCGGCGGCAGCGTCTGCGACGAAATCATCTTTGCACAGAAAAGATGGCCCGATCCGCCGGAATTTTTGAGCCGGGGAGAGTGGCAGGTCCATGATGACGACTGGGATTGAACTGACACGCTCTGGCGGGCTTGCTGTAGCGACGGGGTTCTCGACCTCATCCCCAGCGCGCGCGCGGGCACATCGTTTCTGGGCGGGCTGGCGCGGTTGTCATCAATCGCGACGCGGGCGCGCCGGCGCAAATTCCAGATGTTTAGGAGGGGCCGTTGCAATCGCAACGGGTAAAAGCAAACCCTGAAGCAAATGTGGCAACCGTTCTGGGCCAGTGCTTCAGAGCTACACAATCTGATTGGGACCGGGTTTATAATAATTTTCGGGCCCAACTGTCTAGAATTATCTGACGGTGGGGCGCCATCCCGGGCCCGGCCGCGATGTCCAAGGGCGGCCGTGGGCGGCCATGCCAGACACTAGTGTGCGAATGCCTCTCTCCCCCACCGTCTGCGGCGCCTTCTCCCCCCTGCTCCTGACCCCGCTTCCCCACTATAATGGCGCCTCTCCCGCCTCTGTCGTCCGAAGATGCCCCCGCCGAGTTGGGGCTCGCTGAGCGGCGCAACCGGCGATGCGCCCATCATGGAGCAGACGAGCGGGGGGGGGGGGGGGGGGCGAAGGGAAAGGGAGGGAAAAAAGGGGCAGGGGAGGCATGGGCATTTTTTTCTGCGGCCCGCGAGAGTATGCAAGAGAGCCTCCTGCGTAGCGGTGGGAGCGCCCATGCCGGACACTTAGCGTACGAGCCTTTCTTCTCCACCGTCATGCGTGGCCTCCTCTCCCCTACCCCTGGCCCCGCCTCCCTATTAATGGCGCCCCCCCGTATCCGCCGTCTGAAGATGCCCCCGCCGATTTGGGGCTTGCTTTAGCGGCGCAACCGGCGACGCGTCCATCATGGAGCAGACGGGCGGGGGGCGAGGGAGGGGGCGGGGGGAAAAGGTGGGAAAAATGGGGCAGGGGAGGGATGGTCATTTTTTTCCGTGGCCCGCGAGAGAATGCGGGAGTGCCTGCTGCGTAGCGGTGAGAGCGCCCGGCGCCTTCGAGGGTCTGCTGTAAAAGTCCTAAACTGCAGACGGCGCCAGGGGGGAGTTTCGCGGCCGCTAAACTTCCCCGCAGTGTTTCGTGCGTTGGATATGGATGCTTCTGTGCTGGCGCTGTGTTTTCCTGGCCGGGCTGTCGCTGCGGGTTCGCTGCTGGCTGCGCCGCGTTGTTGCCGAGGCAATCAGTTGAAAATGTCGTCTAATGGCAGACGGCCATGACGGGGGGCGCGGGGGCCGGGAAACCCATCCATAACTTACAGCTGCGTTATCAATACATGTGGTATGTGGTATCGTTCTGCTTTCCCGGCCCCCTTGCCGCAGCGGGCTTGCTGCTCAGCTAAACTTGCAATCCTGCGCCCAATGGTGCACGTTCCCCGTCAGCCTGCCCGCGGCTACACACCGCGGGCACGGGAGGGCGCACTTGTTCTTGAAAGTGTCGTGGCACTCTTTAAAAGTGCGCTCCAAAGCGCCTCTGCCGCTGTAGAGCCAGTTTTTGCACGCCTCCCGGCTGGCTTGGAGGGCGGCCTGTGTCAAGCTGAAGCGATCGTCGAACCACTTCTGGAAAAACTGCGCGGACTTTCCCGGCGCGACAGCGGCAGGGCTGGATTTCATCTGTTGCGCCAGCTCCTTGCGACCAGGGGCTGGCGGCGCCCCCGGAGCTGCCAGGGGCGGGTCCGCCTGAGGGCCCGCCGCCGGAACGTTGGACCAGCGGTTAGCCCTCGCCCCGGAGCTGGCGCGGAGGTCGGACCCCGCCGCTCCGCTCTGGTTGTGGCCTGCGGGCGCGGCTGTGCCCGACGGGTCACCCAGGCGCCGCGCTTTCGAAGCAGACTGCGGCGAGTCGGCGCCGAGTCGCTTCAGGTCGTTCGCGCGGCTCTGGCCGGCAGCCGCGCTCAGGAGCGCAACCTCCCCGAACACCAAGTCGAGGCCGAAGTCCTTCAGGGGGATCTCGTGGTCGAAGGCCCGGCCGCACTTGGTTTGGGAGTGCGTTTTTTGAAAGCCTTGCTGGCGTCGTAGACCCGCTCCATGGCCTTCGTCCCCTGGGCCTCGGCTTGGGCAGCGTTGGCCTGGGTGCCGGTGAGGGCAGACGTGTACCTCTTCTCCGTTAGATGGTAGAGCACCAAGACGCAGTGGCTGAGGGCGCGGACGTTCTGGTCCTTGCCGGCTTCGGCTCGCTCTCCAAGGTGGCACCTGAATTTCTCGCTGGGCCCGCCCCGCTCCGGGAGGCACAAGTGTTTCCATTTCGTACGAACCGCGTACTTCATCGCGACGCGGGTCTTTAGGGCCTCGAGCTCCTTGTTCTCTGGGTGTGCCGCGCTCAACCCCCGCAGGCTAGCTGCGGGGTTCCCGGACTTCTCGATGGCCCCCCTGGCTGCCTCGACACTGTCAGGGTCGACCGTGAGCGCCTCCCACGTCGCTTTCCATTGCGCAACCGTGAGGTTCCGCAAGACGGCCCGCCAAGGGCATTTTCCTCGTCAGCCGCCCTGTTGTACTCGTTGGTGAACAACGCGTGGGCGGCGCCTCCGGGCTTGGCTGACTCTTCGACGGCTGCGTGCACGGTCCCACCTGGGAGGGTCGCGGTGCTGAGTTGCTCTGTAATCCTTTCCACGACGGAATTGTAGATTGCGCCCGCCAGCTGCGTCTCGGCTTTGATCGCTTCCGCAATCAGTGTCTTGACCTGTTCATCGGAAGCCATGCCTTGGAAAGGTGGGGGGCCGAGATGTGCGCGGGCGAGCTGGCCGGCGCGGTTGGTCTTGGGGCTCGGGCCGAATGGCGTGGGGCGCGCGCGTCCTCCCAGATCCGCTATGCCTGCCCCCCCTTCTTCCTGTCTTCCCTCCTCCGTGCTTTTCCAGTCCCTTACTTTCCCGTCCTCTGTCATCGTCTGAAAAGGCCCCCACCGAGTCAGGGCCAGATGCCAAGGCGAGGGCGTGGCAAGACGGGGAGGGGGCAGGAGAGAGAAGGCAAGGGAGTGGCTTGCCAGCGTGCCGGGGGGGGGGAGGTGGAAGCGCGCTCGAGCGTGTTTTTTTTTGTGTGTGTTTGTGTTTGTGTGTGTGTGTGTGTTTGTGTTTGTGTGTGTGTGTGTGTGTGTGTGGACGCGTGTGTGTGTGTGTGTCTGTGTGTGTGTGTGTGTGCGTGCGTGTGTGTGTGCATGTGTGTGTGAACGCGTGTGATCTTTTGGAGTCTGCGCTCAGCGACTGCGAAGTCAGTGCAATCATAGGTTTCTCCTGGCTGGTTTCCAGCTGGCCAGAACCGAATAGCGAAGGTCCGTGCGGGGCCCGCGCCGCACCTCACCCTCTGGAGAGAGCCGCCGGAAGATGTCCGAGCGGGGATCCCAGGAGCGGACCCGGTGCCAGGAAGACAGCGCGCCCGCGCGGAACCGCGGAGCTCCTGCGTCCTCTGGCAGAAGCAATAAAATCTTAAGGGGCGGGCGAGCTTTCCGGGCAGACTTGAAACAATCCAGGCACGTCTGGGTTAGAGCCCGTGGTGGGTGAGCCCAGACGACGTGACCCTCGAGGTTGCATTCGAAAGCCGTCAGTTCTGGGCATCGCCACTCTCAGGCTAGAGCGGACAGCCCGCGCCTGTCGGCAAAGAGGTCCAGCGTGCAAGCGACGTTGCATCTACTCTGCACTTCCTTATGCAGATCCTTACGCAGGACAGCATCTTTGAAAAGGATCTTCGGCCCAGGCGGCTGCAAAACCCGAGTCCCAAGAGCCCCTGTCAGCCACTGCGTTGGAGCGGCCAGGGAGGTGTGAAGCGAGCGCCCAGCACCCCGACGCGCGTTCGGCGTCTTCGAAGCATTGAGTTCCCAGAGGGTGGACGGATCAGCTTTCCTGATCCGCCTTTCGTCTTGACTTACTCTGGCATCGGACGTGTACTTCTGATCCGCGTTTTGTTTGTTAAGGTAAAACTGATGCGCTTGCCTAGCAACTGAGGCGCTGATTTTGGCTCAAACCGATCATCATCATCACCATCGTTTACATATATCAGTACGTGCGTATGTTTACAAATACATAGAATTACACGCACACGCACACGTATATAATATACGTGTGTGAATATATATATATATATATATATATATACGGTATATTCACATTCTATGTTTATACGTGTGTGTATATATATACATATTATATATACATATACATACATATATTTATAGTTACATCTATGTGTACATATACATATACATATATATAGGGCATACATGCGCATATATGCACCTATATTTTCACATAGTGTATATATCAGGTGTCTTATTTGCTGCACAATTGGTTCCTAACGGCTTGGCTGCCCGAGCGTTCGGGAGCGGATATCAGGATCTCGCTGTTGTTGTCGTCCCTCGCCATTCTTGCTCAAGAACATGGCTCCGCCCATCAGAGAGGGTCGGGGGTGCCTGCAAAGTACTGGAACACACCAGTGGGCAGGCTGTTCCACAAGGCCAGGCCCCCCTCGCGAGCCATGGCTTCAGAGGAGGGGCCCTGTGAGAGCGTCGGCTCCAGCTACGCGGGCCTCGTGGAGCCCGAGGAGCACGAGCTCCTGGCAGGTCGCATGGGCGATTCGGTAGCGACGTCGACGCAGGTGGCGGAGGCAGCCACCCTGCCTGACACGCCGCTTGCGATGAATGAGATGAAGAACGAGCTGAGGACGCCACCCTGTCGGCGTCCGCCATCAGGTTCGGATGCTGAACCAGAGAGCCCGAGCAGCCGACCCCGAAGAGCATGCGCATTCATGGCGCTAGGGCTGCTGAGGAGAGGATGGCCGAAATCCAAGCAAGCAGGGCCGCGGTGCAGTCAGACGAGGAGCCGCTCGTTTCCCCCAAGATCACGGTTGCCAGTGGCGAGGCCGCCCAGGCGACAGGCGACGCCGACGGCGAGGTTGCCGGTGGCGAGGCCGCGACAGGCGACGCCGACGGCGAGGTTGCCGGTGGCGACGCCGCCCAGGCGACAGGCGACGCCGACGGCGAGGTTGCTGACGCCGACGGCGAGGTTGCCGGCGAGGCGACAGGCGACGCCGACGGCGAGGTTGCCGGTGGCGAGGCCGCGACAGGCGACGCCGACGGCGAGGTTGCCGGTGGCGAGGCCGCCCAGGCGACAGGCGACGCCTACGGCGAGGACGACGACAGCGAGAGCATCGAGATCGACGACGACGACATCGCGGGTGCGCTCGGGGCGCTCGTCGGGCCCAGCATCTTTGACGGGGGCTTCGGGCAAGACACGGCCGAGGTCTACGGCCTCATTCATGAGCGATCGCCCGACGCTAGAGCAGTCGAAGGCTCGGAAGGAGGCGGAAGAGGCGTTCAGGTTGTCACAGATTCGCTCGGCGCGGGAGGCGCAGACCAAGGAGATTGAAGCCCGGGGCGGCTGCATGCTGAGGGGGGGCATCACGCAGTCACAGGAGCAGTCGAAGATCGACCAGAAGGCCAGGGAGTCCAAGGAGGCCGCCGAGCTGGCGGAGATCCCGAGGAGGTCGAAGGAGCCGCAGGAGCAGGTGCAGGTGCAGATCGAGGACCAGGAGCTGGCCGAAGCCATGAGGAAGTCGAGGAACCAGCTGGAGATCGACAAGGCTCGGCGCAGTGGATATCGATCGCCTTCGCCAGACTCGCGGCATCCGGAGGCCAGCGGCCACCGCGATCCCTACCCAGACCCCGCGCCTTCGAGTCGACACGCTGCCGACGCGGCCGCTGGATCAGCTTCCGCAATCACGGATACCTTGAGTACTGGAGGCGACTGGGAGGGTAAGGGGAGGAGTTGATCGTGATAAATGCGACGATGACGACAACGTTGATAAATACACCGCACTCACATCTATACCCCTGGGTGGGTGTATGTGCGGCCGTTTTTGCGCTGTCATGTGCGCGCATGTGCGCGGCATGTGCCAGTCATGTGCCAGGCCTGCGCGGCCCTTCTAGGATGGACTTCCTACTGTGCACGTCGTGCCCGGGCATGTGCGGGGGCATGTGCGCTGTGTTTTGATGTATCCATCATGCGCACATGCACGCACATTCCGACGCACATGCGCGCACATGCCTCCACATGCGGGAGGTGTTCGAGAATCGCAGATCTGTCATCGGCACATGCACGCACATGCCTGTGCAACCTCTCTTCGGGAGGCCGCGCGGGCCCGCACATGCACGCACATGCGGTGAAGCGCGCGGGCGCACATGCGTGCACATCCCAATGCACATGCACGCTCGTGCCCTAGGAGCTGTCTGGGTCCCCTGTGCCTCCAATGCCTCCTGGCCTTCGCAGAGCTAACCTGGGGCGTGCCAGGGCTTCTGAAAGAATTTGTTGTGCGTTTAGACTCGCCCGCTGCTGGCGGGGGCGGTTCTTCGCCCAGTTCGTGAGCTGGCGGTGGCGTGCCCTCCTGGTAAAACACTCTCCCGCGCGCCTTCTCAGCTCGGCCGGAGAAGCAGGGGTGCGGGGGGGGGGAGTTGGAGGGGGGGGGAAGGAGGGGGGGCCGAGGAGGCGGACGCCCCCGGCTCGGCTGGCCCGCCCGCCTATTCGGCTCGGCCAGAAGAGAAGGAGGAGGAGGAGGAGGAGGAGGAGGAGGAGGAGGAGGAGGAGGAGGAGGAGGAGGAGGTGAGAGTTGCGAGCATGTCTCAGGCGAAAGTGGCTTGACGGCCCGAGCTCAGGGAATCTCGGAATCGCTGGCCTGGCTCGGCCACTGGCGAGCTCGGCCTGTGCGAATACTGTGCGTACCTGTGCGGGGCATGTGCGGGACGTGCAAGAATGCCGGGGCCGGCGTTCGTCTCCGGGCGCCGGCGCGTTCGCGTCCGGCCGGTTCCGCGTGAGACGTCGTCGGCAATCTGGAGGCCGACATGCTTTGACATGAGGTGATCTGGCCACCTTCGCCTGAGACATCCTCGCAACCCTGGTCTCGGAGATGCCCTGCCCCATGGTGGCCCAGCCACTTTCGCTTGAGACATCTTCGGAACTCTGGGTTTCGAGACGCCTTGAGCTGAGGTGGTTAGACCACTTTCGCCTGAGACATCCTCGCCACTCTGACCTCAGAGATCTCCTGCACCATGCTGGTCAGGCCACTGTCGCCTGAGACATCCTCGCAAGTCTCGATTCCGATATGCCCCGAGCTGAGGTGGTCAGCCACTGTCGCCTGAGACATCCTCGCAACCCTGATCTCAATGATGCCCTGCTCGATAGTGTCTCGGCCCCTTTCGCCTGAGACATCCTCGGAACTCTGGGTTCCGAGACGCTCTGAGCTGAGGTGGTTAGACCACTTTCGCTTTACACATCCTCGCCCGAGATGCCCTGAGTTGAGGTGTTCAGGCCATTTTCGCCTGAGACATCCTCGCAACTCTGACCTCAATGATGCCCTGCTCCATAGTGTCTCGGCCTTTTTCGCCTGAGACCCTCGCAACTCTGGGATCCGAGATGCCCTGCCCCATGGTGGTCCGGCCACGCTTGCCTGAGACATCCTCGCAACTCTTGGTTGCGAAATGCCCCGAGCTCAGGTGGTCATGCCACTATCGCCTGCGACATCTCTGCGGCATGTGCGGGCACGTGCGTCCATGCTTTCAGAGTTTTGCTTGACCGTGCATTCGACTGTGCGTCGGAAGGTGTGGCATGTGCGCGCATGTGCGGCAATGCTGTTGAGGCTTTTGCATATTCGCATGGGCATGTGCATGCGACTGTGCGGCATGTGCCTGCATGTGCGGCCCCTTCCGGACCACAATTTCAAAGTGAGCACTATAGAAGTGAGCGCTATAGAAGTGAGTGCGGTGTACGACGATGACGTGATGAATAGTGAATTTCTTCCAACACCCTGGCGGGGGCCCTGGTTGCCCCTGGGCGAGGATGAGGTAGCATGTTGCAGAAAACGCAAGACCAGGCTCATTCGAGGATACGAAGGATGAAGAGGAGGAGGAGGAGGAGGAGGAGGAGGAGGAGGAGGAGGGAGGAGGAGGAGGAGGAGGAGGGAGAACGAGGAGCAGGAAACGGAGGAAGGAAAAGGATGAGGAGGAGGAGGAGGAGGAGAAGGGGGGAGAAGGAGGACGAGTAGGAAAAGGGCGGAGACGGAGGAGGAGAGGAGGAGGAGGAAGAAGAGGAGGAGGAGAAGGAGAAGGAGGAGGGGGAGGGAGGCGGAGGAAGAGGGTTTCCTCCTCCTCATCCTCCTCCTCCCTCGTCGCCGTTCTCCTCCTCCTCCTCCTCCTCTGCCGCCTCGTCCTCCTCCTGTCCCTCATCTTCTTCCTCCTCCTCCTCCTCCTCCGCCTCCGACCTCTCTTCCCCTCCCTCACCTCTTCCTCCCGCGCACGGGGCGGGTCGGGGCCGCCGGGTGGGCCCCCGAGGCGGGGGCGGCCGCCGCGCGCGCAGCCCACCCTTGCCCTTCTTTGTTCCTCGATGCTCGGATCCCAGACCAAAAGGAGGAGGGGGCAGTACCCCCTCGGTGCCAAGGGCAAGGAGAGGAAGGATTCAGGAAGCACGGCTGAGGAGCAGGAGGAAAAGGAGAGACCCGACAGCGGAAGAGAGGAAAGGGGAGCAGGAAGCTGCCTTGGGGCCCTGGGACTGGGACCACTACCGAGCGCGGGAGGAGGAGAAGGAGGAGGGCGACAGCAGACGGACAGACAGGGACCGAGAAAGGAGCAGGCAACAGCAGACGCACAGGCGACGAGGCGAGAAGGGGGTGAAAGTGAGGGGCACCACCGGAAACTCGAAAAAGAAAACCTAAAATCATGAATCGAAAATCCGCGTTTGGAATAGGATGGTCTTGAAGAGTACGACGGCAATGATGAGACATAGCATAATTCAGACGATGTTGGAGGAGTGGGGGGGGGGGGCGAGACGAGAAAGGTAAGGACGACTAGAAGGATGCTCAGAGGGTGCAGGGGGCTGAACAGTTCGCTGAGCCGCTGAGCCGCTGAACGGCAGGAGGAGGAGGAGGAGGAAAGGAGAAGGAGGCTCCTTGAAGGAGGATGCGAGGAAGAGGAGGAGGAAAAGGGCCAGTGCATCCCTAGCAGACGCCAGGCCGCCAGGCCCCAGGCTCAAGAGCGTGCGTGCGTCCGCACAGAAAGCCTTGACTGTCCTCTTCTTTTCTTCCTCTCTCCCTCCGCCTCCTCCTCTCCTCCTCCCCTTGACTATTCTTCTCCTCCTCCTCCTCCTCCTCCTCCTCCTCCTCCTCCTCCTCCTCCTCCTCTCCTCCCACTCCTCCACAAGCCATCTAGCCCCTGGCCTTGCACTGGCCAAGGCAGTAGATGAGGTACGAGCCTAGAGCATGAGAGCACATCGCGTTGCCGATCAGCGGGCGAAGCGCAACTAAAGGCATAGACTCTGCAATACCTGCCCAGTAGCAGGGGAACTCATCTGAACCACCTGGCGGGCTAAAACAGTTGTCGCCCATCATTGCGAGCAACTCCTTCGCAGTGAAAGGAACGATAACACCATCTTCTGTGATCGTCACCATCCAAGCATTGTGAGTCGTGATCGTTGGCATTACTGGCCCCGGTGGCGCGTACTTCACGTCCTGAAGGAGGTCAGCTATGAAACAGCCGTCAAGCCCGCAGAACGCATCCCTCACAGTCATGTAGCGATCGAAACGCGTTCTCATGAATGGGCTAAGGTTGTCGCTGATGCTGATGTTGACGCGACTGTCGCCGAAATGCACACATCCACGGGGCAGCAGGGAGCGAACGTACTCTTGGCGAGTGGCGTCGTCATCCATGAAGAAAGCTGTCGGTTGCAAAACTCTTTGCTTTTTGAACACACCTCGGTAATCTTTGAAAGAACCATGGAACTCGAAGAGGGTCTTGCGCCAACCGAATGTGTAGCGACGCGGTCGGCGCATTGGCACCGACAGTTCCTCCGCACATATCTTGCCTGTGATCCCGTCCATCTCCAGGTACTTGATCAAATCCATGTGGAGCGATTCTGGGGCCCCATCGGTGATCTCTAAGATTATGAAGTCGGGGTCCAGGTCTTTTACCTCATGCTTGAACCACAGGAAATCCTCCATGCGCGTGCCACTGGATCCCTCACGAGCTCCTCTGATGCTGAAATCCTGGCAACTGTGGCCTGCAACTGCAAGAACAAGCTTCCCTGTGCGGTCATGGCGAATGGGGCAGGCTCCTCTGCCGCATGCGAAGCACTCGGCGGCGCCACTCTCCTTCAAGAGCTCTCCCTTGAACGATTCGAGGTAGCGGTCCATCTCTTCGAACGCTTGTAACCGAGCATCATGTCCAACGCAGCGCAACAGCATCCTCACATGGTCGACATGGACATCGCGAAAGCGAGATTGGATGCTGCCAAACACGTGCTTGAAGATCCTCTCCGGGCCATCTTTCATATTGAGCACGGTGCGCGCCGTTGGTTCGGAGTCGCACGCACTGTAAGCTGTGATAGCGTCAGGACTCGACGTGATGCCCTTCATCTGTAGAGCCCTGCTCAGATGCCTTGCAACTGTACCATCCGTTCCCTTGCCCGAGTAGTAGCTATGCAAGACCAGCGGACGAGAGTTCAGCAGCTCCGTCAACCTCCCGGCAACACACTCATCTGCTGCGGTGACGTCATCGATGGCTTGCATGGGCCACTCCGCGTAGTCTTTTGTGGTGCGGAAGCCCTCGGACAGGAACAGGCTGGCCTCGGCAGCATCGATCGACCCTGTTCTGAATCGCTTGCTATCTGGAGCGTTAGATGGGCGCCTCAATAATGAACGCATTGCAAGTACACACTTGCTTGAACCTTGAGCCAGAAAAATGGCTATGGCAATGTTGACGATGATAATCACTCGGCCTGTACTTCCGAGCCTTCAGACTCTTACTCAGCCATCGCTCCTCAGCACCAGTAGATGCTGAGCTCACGTCCCTGGTGCCTTCAGGCGCATTCGAAATGTGTGTTCAATCGGATCTGTCGGACCAGGTTTTCTCATTCGATGTGAAGTGTGCTACGTGTTCGTGCTTGTGATGTTTGTTTTTTGTTTGTGATGCTGCTTTGTTTGTGTTGTTTCGTGCTTGCGAAGCTGTTTCTTGTGATGTTTGTTTGGCATCAGGCGTTTACCCCACTAGACCCTTTTGAGTTTTATGAGTGCGATTTGGTTCGGGCTTGTTTTTGGACATCATGTCGTTTTGGGCCCCATGAGATCTCCATCGCCGTCGTCGTTGCCACTAGCACTGCACATGCTGAAGGC